GCGTAGTTAGGCTAGGCGTGCGTAGTAATCACGGGCCGAGACGGGTGGTCCGGTAAAGTACAATCCAGCCCATGCATCATTAGTATGAACAGAACAACCAAGTTTATAGGATCTAGATTAGATATAGATCTCTAGATCTAGTACCTCCTGCGGGCACCGCGGCCGGCCCAGCAATGCCTGGAACAGCAGGAACAATTGTGGGAGCTCCTCCACTACTTGTTAGTTCGGCAGCTAAGCCTTCTCTTTGCTTGCGTCTTTCAAGCATTTTCGCTCTCAGGCTGCTCTGCCTGTTTTTAAGAGCGGTGATGTCGCTCCACGAAGCATCCGACATGATGACAGGATAGTTCTTTTCACGAAAACAACTCTTAAAATTTGAATTGTAATAATAGTCAGTCTACATGGGCGCTGCCATTTTTAATCGCGAATGTTGTCCAGGTTTGACTTCCGGTTTCGAGAACAACAACATCCACCAAAAAATATGCCGGATTTGATTAATCTCACCCCGCTTTATTGGCCAGGGTTGAGAGCCAAGGACTTTAAAGTTACTAGGCTATTATAGTGACATTCTTTAGAAATAAAATACTTCTTTTTCACGCGAAAATTAACTATCTAACCAGAATCGATTAGATTCCAAAAACGTACAAATTCGTTTAGTACTCCAAAAAATTACAGCTTAATATGTAGGCCTACATGTAAGATTTAAATATGTATAAACTACATGTGTACATGTAGGCCTATAACAATCACTTGCCATTTGCCATTGTCTACTTGGTCAACAAGCTTTGTTAAATTGTTTTTCTTTATATATATGTACACAGATATATATATATATATATGTATAATGTATATATGTATATATACATTATTGTACTCCTCCCCCTCCCTCACCCTCCTGTCACTTTCACTTTTTTTTTAGTAGAGGTTTTACGGCGCTCGCAACTGCATGAGGTCATATATTATGAGCGCCAGAAGATTAGAGGTGTTACATGAGAGTAACAACATAAAAAGAAGGGGAGAAGGACGATAGATGTTTGATAGGAGAAGCAAACCACCCCAGAGCACCCGCCAATCACCCACCCTGTCACTTCTGGTGACGTTTATCGCCTTTAGATTTAGAGAAGTCAACCGGGTTCTTTTGATGTTTTTTACTCTCAAATTCTCCTAGTTCACTACATGCCAAAGTCCATGGCTGAGGTACCAAAGTTATATCTTGAGCTTTTTAAAAAGCAGAATACACAAAAGCCTCCAGAAGCTGATTGACATAAAACTAAATATTTAATTAATTGTAGATCTATATATATATTATAAATCTTTCATCTCGACTTTCTTTTTCTTATCTTCAACCTTTTCACATGAGGCGTAAATACAAACATAACTCGTGTCATGTAATCACCTCACCACTCATCATTTGGGTATGTAGAGAAAGGGTTTTATAGCAAGAAGGTTGGTTGTTTACACTAGATTCCTTTCTTTTTCTTCATTTTTACATTTTTTAAAATAATACTATATACTCATGTCATGTGGTCACCTCGAGATCGTTGTGCATTCTTCGATATGGTAAGTTGAGAAAGGGTTGATGCAAGAAAAGTTATTTGTAAATGTGTAAAATTAGGAACAGAAGCTTCATACTCACCTTTTCACCTGGCAAAGAGACAACAAATATATATACATGTAGCCATGTATGTAAAAAGTGTAGGTGTTTTTTTCCGTCCCTATCGACACAATTTAGATCAATTAGGAGGCAGGCTTCTGACAAAGGCCAACCCTGGCTGAGAAGGATACAAAATCCCAGCATTCTGATACTCGATAAAAATTGATTCCCCACTCGGGAATTGAACTTTGGCCCCACTATAGACCCCATTACGTAATAAGTGGTGAAGGTCTGATCTCAGTACAACATGAAAGAAATTTTGGCAAACAAGCACAGAAAATAGTCTTTGGATTGTGTACCGACCAGCGAACCCTGTGTGAGTACCTCCAAAGACACATTACAGTTTCACATGCGTGCTGGTTGTGTCTGTGCTAGTGCATAAGCATGAGTGTTGAGACTGTGTATGTGTACGTGTGTGCGTGCGTGTGTGTGTGTGTGTGTGTGCATGTTTTGGAGGGGAAAGGTACAGAGAGACACAGAGAGAGAAAGGGTAGGGGAGGAGGAGAGAGAAAGAGAGAGAGAGAGAGAGAGAGAGAGAGAGAGAGAGAGAGAGAGAGGGGGGGGGAGAGAAAGAGAGAGAGAAAAAGAGAGAGAGAGAGAGAGAGATAGAGAGAGCGCCAGTGCAAGATATCCATTTAAAAGCTCAATCTGTACAATATAGTGCTTTTGTGTAAGAAAAGATGGGACTCTGAGGAAAAGAGCTCAGTTTCAAGTGAGTGTAGTGTATGAAACCTGAAGTGAAATTTTACATTAAGCCTTCACATCACCAAGGGCACTTCACATCGCCTATAACAGGCATATGTCGATGAAGAGGAGAAAAAAAGCACAGTTTGAATACAGAATTCATTTATTGCAAAAAAAGACAAGCAGAGGAATGAAACAAAGGGTTCACAGAGAGTACATTATGTTGTAAAAGTTTTATGGCCTCACTGATTTTAAAATTTATTTCAAAGGTGGGCAGCTTCGCCCTGCCTATAAGAAACTACGAACACTCCTGATCCCGGCTATGAGAGACCCATCCCAGTAGAAACATGAAGAACAAAAGCCCAACAAAATACCTTTCCCACACAGGAATTGAATTTTCATCTTCTGTGTGCAAGGAACAATACACAGGCAAGACCAAGGGCTAATTAACTTTCTTAAGTACTCCCAACTTGGGAGGATAGTAAAATTCTATGAGTCACAAACACATCTGTGTAAATATATATATGAATTATTGAGTAAAAACTTGTTCCTTTGAAGCCTAAACATTGACAAGTGCTCTTTATCTATAGCCTACATAACCGACTCAAAAAGCCCAAAGCAAGTATACTGATGAATTCAGCCATCCTAAAAGATGTGCCACAGTACAAAGCCAAACTTCAGGCCTCTGTCATAACAAATCAGACTTGGACCTAACCAGACTCCTTGGACTCTTGACACAAAGCAATTCTTTGTAAAACTTTTGGTAAATGAGAAAAAAGAATCTATGTAAAATTATGAACAGTTTGCTGGAGGAAAATGAAAATTTGTGTACTGAACAAAAGACAAAATTCTTTCTAAAAATGTCAGAATGTACAAGGTCTTGGCAGTTCTGTGGAGGAAAATACAAACTTGGGTGTTTTGACATTACAAAATAATTACAGTATTCAAGACTATGAAGTCAAGCACACAAGCATAGAAAAACCTTACTGACCAAAGAATAAATCAAAACAAAAATATATATTAATCAAAATACATTTGAACAAACACTTCCCTGGACAAAAACTTAACATATCAGAATAAAATCCAGTGCAAAAGTCTCATTTGTAAATACAGCTGAAGTGAAGAATGGTGGAAAGAAAGGACAGGAGAAATAAAGCTGGTAGAAAGAGGCACAATGAGGAACTCTATAAAAAGACCTGATGCCTAAAAACATATGTCGGAAGAACGGTTCAAGCATAGATATAAAAAAACTATAGAAACAAATGCCAAGGAAAAGAATAGAGCAGACACAGTATAAATTTGCTGGATGTACCCAAAATATTGCAACAAAATGAAAATTCGCATCAGGTTAGGGTTCTTTGGAGCAGCACCAAAGACGGGCAGGGCAAAAAGCAGCTTTGAAAATTAATCACAAAGCACCTGTTAGATAAATTCTTAATATTAGGAACCTGGATGTCCAACATTTTAAAATTAATTCAAACTTTCACCAATTAAAAATCACAAATGTCATTTTTACCACTTGATCGAGGGAAATGAACTGAACCTTACAAAAACCACAATGCTTGTATATTTCAGTAGTAACTAACATGTTATGTTGCTAAAATTTTTCAAGTCAATCAAAATGAACCAGGATTTACGAAGTTTTCTTTATGATTCTCGGACATTAAATCCACACAACGATGAAGACTCCACTCACTGCCTCTCTGTGACAGGTGCATTCTTTGGTTCACACTAACAATTCAATGATGCTACAGAACTAGGAGAAAAGACAACAAATGAGTCAACAAAAAAAAACCCACCTGTTTTCCGTTCCAATTTATGAGAAAATGAGATAAATGGCAAGCTTGAGCAACAAAATTGAATTCTTCAAAATTGTTAACATACAGGTGCAAAAAAAAAAAATGGAACGGGCAAGGGACATTTACAATATATAATATCACAACTGCAAAATCATGTCCAAAAGATAAACATACCATTCAGAAGGAAAAACCCCCCACACACATTTGAGGCAAAAAGAGTATAAAAAGGAGGTACAAAACATAAGAACACATTTTTATATATATATATATATATATATATCACAAATAAACAAATATGGACCCAAAGTCGCCGAACTTGCTGCAAACTAGGTTGAAATCTTATCAAAAGGGTGGAAAAGAAACTAGCAAAAGTGTTCGAACTGTGTCAATAAAAAATCAACCCCTTTCATGTTTCACACAAATGTTTCCATTTTATGAATGATAATGGCAAAATTTCCAACCAAGAGATATTCTGAGGTTATTAGAATAACAAACTAAACATGAAATATAGCTGAAAACCATTTAGAGGACCTCTTACATTACGGGCCTCAGATGGTGAAAGGTATGCAAATATAGTTCCAACAAAAGCATCAAGCAACGCTTAAGTTGTGAGAAATTAACAGTTTACAACTCTGTCTAATTCAGCCCTATCAAAAGATAATCTAGAGTAAAAATCGAGTTCTTTTCTTCATTTGACCTTGCGGTATGCTTAGCCAAATCTAGGCACATTTTTGGGCTTGGTTGTTAGAGTAGAAGTAGAATAGAAAGAAAGAAGGAAGAATCAAACAACAATAAATATCGATACGATAAATGTATGTCTGAGTGCAGATGCTCATATATGCAATTTAACCTCTAGAAAGGCTTGACTCTATTTTCAGTGTGCAGTAGAGCTATTCCAACCAATAAACAACTGAATCTGAGAAAATCTGGGCACTCAGTGCAAAAATACATGCCATGCCAGTGCAAGTGAATAAAAATACAGACAACATACAAGATGAGCTAAATGGATTAAATGTTTTATTTTTAGAGAATCGCAACGAACAGGTCGGAACAGAAAGCAAATAGTAATTAACTTATCAAATGTGCACACTCAGCAGTATTGTAGAGCAAAGAGATGAAATGTACAATAATAGTTTCCCAGACTTTCTCAATCTTGATTCTGAATAACAAAACACTGTGAAAGGTCTTAACAACAGATGTCTCCTCAAAACAATCAACCAACAATCATCAAGTATTGCATACCCGAACAATCAACAACCGTATTCATCCACAAGTATCAATATGCTGAGCTTCCCCACAAGAAGTGAGGACAGGACGTCTTGAACAATAATAATATTTTTTCTTTAAAGATATCAACATACATTTGTAAGCCACTGACAGAACCTCTCATTTCTATTAAGTCCCTTGGGAAACGTTATCACCATAGAATATCAAGCAGTAAGAAATTTGCGAAAGGTATTACAACCCAGAGTATTATCATTACAACAGCAAAAATACAAGAGAACCTAGGCATGAAGGAAAGTAACAATAGAGAGTTTACATCTATCTATATAAATATATATATATATATATAAAATAATAATAATATACAGTAGAACCTGTGTAAGACGGCCACCATGTCAGACGAGGAAAACCGAGTGCTATGGTAAAACAAACACATAGGTCGCTACCACTCGGAGAACGAGCGACGTTTCTGTCACAAGTTCATGTTGACATCCATTGTTACTTAGTTACAGACTGAGTAAATAGCGACCACTCATCTCACTTACGATTTGTGTACGAGTTTTAGGCGGGGCTTATGGGTTATGAGGGATCACACGCTTACCTCACCAGCAGTTGAAAATTTGTTACCTATTGGTCAACAGTGGAAGGGGCCTAAGCAACATGACCGGTTGGAGGGACTACCTAACAACAAAGACAAGTGATTGGATTATGGCGGCTCGCCCACAACGCCAGGGGCCAATACATGATTTATGACAAAATGTAATGAAGTCACTACGATGGGCGTCTAAGACAGGTGTTATTACTTAGTGAGATAGGGGTTGTGCGATAAAATAAGGTGGCCGCGGCCGTGTTGGACAGGTGCTCGTTTTACACGATTAAATTATATAGAAAAAACGCAAGGGGGGGAAATGGAAAGTGGCCATTAGTACAGACGGCCGTCTTATAGAGGTGGCCGTCAGGGCAGGTTTAACTGTATACAAGATTTCAAGAATAACATTGTTTAGTTAAGGTTACGATACCTCTCACAGTACAGTAACATGCATATATCCATTTAACATGCATCTACAAAGGTAGTAGTACTATCACTCCTTTTATCAGCATGTTTTGCACAGTTAAAGTCATTGCTACATACTTTTTCAAAGCAACATAAACAAAGATCAACAACCACAAACAACATAGGATCTATTGTGGGCTTATAGGCCTCAAAGACAAGATTCCAGCACCAAAGCTACGAGATTCTGTAAGTTTACAAGGAGCATGAGCAATGTGGTATTGCAGTTCTCCTGTACTATAGTTGTCACATCCCCGTTTTTTGTTCTTTACTCTAGGCATTGAAACTCCCCTTAACATGATAAAAAAAAATTTCAGTCATTTCATCATTCTCCTCATGGCAGTGGCACTTCCCCTTTCTTTTTTTTTTCTCCTCACTAACAGTAGCCTGCCATTGTCAATGCACATCATACATGTGTTCAATAGGCTAAACACCTCCCCCCCCCCCCCACTTCCCCTTATTTTCTGGGACAAGGAAATGAGACACTAGGAAGCTGTTAAATATCCTTAATTTGATAGGAATATTCCATTTTTGAAAACTTCCTGATTATCCTTATAATATCCAACTATGATTCATTAATCCTATGTTTTGCTATTTATATTAGGTCTTGACTCTTCACCTTCAAAAATTTTTCCACCCCAGTTCGCCCGAATTAATTTTCAAATCGGCCCAGGTTCTAAGGGGTGCCATATTCTAGACACAAATCACAAACAAGTTTAACACAAACATTTAAAGGTAATAAAATGTAGAAAACATTTATGGAATTGATTAATATCAATCTATGTATTTGTTTAAGTATCTGAGATACGTGGGGTGACAAAATAATAATTTTTGTCACTCCCACGTAAAATAGAAAATCACCGGTGCAGTCACTGTCAAAACCATCAGAAGAATCTAGTCATCTGCAGAATCCTAAAAATTCAATAGTTTGGTAATCACCTTTGCGTGAAACAAACTAGGGAATTTGTCTTTCCTTTACAACCACTCACTTGTTCTCACTTCAAAATTATTTTTTTTAAATCTGGCTCTGAAATTATTTTAAGTCTAAATTATTCCAAACAGTCTCGAACCCTTTCTTCCGTGTCCAAATTTTGAGCGAAATCGGATAATCAATCACAGTTTCCAAAAATAGGATGTTTATGAAACTTTAAAAAACCACCACAAATGCATGTTGATGCAAAATGAGACACATTCGGAATCAATTCTCCTACCATCACCCTGGCAGTACACGATAAGTCAAATGACATGTCCATTGTCACTTTGACGGTAAACAGTCAAACTGAGTAGCAACAGGGAAATCCATCAAGTAGGCAACTACAATCTCCCTCGAACCTCATCCTGGGCAGTCAAGTATGAGGTTGAAAATAAGGTTCCCCTTTTTTTCCAATTTCCCAAAATTTGCAGCTCAGCATGTGTTAGTAATATAGTAATGACTAAAAATGGCTTACACGAGGACCATTTGATCAGAACGGTAAGAAAGAAGTCACCTCCCATTTTTTGTTCTTTTCATTTACTCTGCCTAACACTTTAAAAATTCTCTAGTCCCGTGAAGTTTGCATATTATCAAAGATTTTATTGTATTTGTTTAGAGTTTTTTGTGCAGTTTCCTGCTCAGCTTTGAATTTTAATTTTAATTATTTTTTTTATTTTTTTTTGGGGGGGGGAGGAGCAGTGAGAAAGAAGCATATTCTAATTAGTATGAATTTGGCTCATGAAAATGTATCAGTATATATATATATATATATCAAACAGTAATAGAAATAGAACAGAGAAATATTGTCATAGAACATTTTTTTTTCAGTCAGTAGTCAGTGAAGCCCCTTCCAATCTCTTTCTGTCTACCATCAGGCTCCTCTCAACAACCAGACTAATCATCAATGTACTATGAGAACATTTTTACGCTATTTTTTTATTCTGTCCTTTTGACTAGTTGAACAAGTGGGTATTTTCTAGGCTGAGGAGACTAGGCAAATCATGCCTAACAAAACATTTATGCGAAATGGAATTAGAAAAAAACTCATTCTTTAAGAGGAACATATTAAGTCTTTTTCTATATGGTGCTGGAAGAATATTTTCCTCTACACAATAAAATTTACTTAATTTTGGACTTCCAACCATGATCTAAAAGGCAGACAACAAGATCCCGTCAACATGTTAAACTCTTGGATTTTTCAGGGGCTGCATCCCTCTCATCTTGTAGTACCCTGTGACCTGTTTGGGGACTTCCGCCAACACACTCCGGGCCAGCTCCACCGGTGTAGACTGGAAACAGAAAAACAAATCATGTTAATGAAATCACATTAAATAGGGACAAATAAATGACAAGAACATAAAATTGACAAACAGAAATGCTTAAAATATTTCTAAAAATGAAAAAATAAATAATAGAAAATACAAAAACATTTTCGTTCTTAATTAAGTGTGTACTGATTTTTCACTTTATATAACACAAGAGAGACGTTTCATCATTTTAGTTTTAGTAAGAGTTGTACTGCACTTTCAACACAAAAAGGTCATATAACTGTCGAAGATTACAGGCGTTAACAAAAAAGAAGGAGGAGAGAAAGACAATAGATGTTTGATAGGAAAGAAGGAGCAAACCACACCAGAACACCCGCCCATTTAATGAGGGCACAACTACAGACACAATATTCAAATCTTTTTAAATACATTTGTTTCTCACTCTAAACATTAAATCACAACCCTGTAAACACCAACCACACATAGAAAAACTTACTAATTTCCTCAACTAATTACAACATGGCTCGTGTCTAACTGCCCACTGGAGTGCTAACAAAACTGTTACAACATCAACAAGTATTATCTGTCTTTAATTAAAGTCTAAACACAAAAGGCAAGCTGCAGAATGCAATGTGGAGATAAAAATAGCAGGTAAAATAAATTTCTAAGTTTAAAACTTCGAAGAAAAAAAATTTCAAAGATCAAGAGGCTGCTTTATAGAGACTCAGAGATAAATGATACACAGATAGAACTAGCATAACAAAACCTACAAAATGCGAAAGCCAAATAGCTCAGCTTCGTCTTTTCCATCCCTCATTATATACAACCATCCAGCAATACATGACTTAATGAAACTCCACAAAATGTTTCAACTACATCAACAGAAATCAAATCTAAAAATTTGCAAAACTCTCACATTTTTAAACTCTCTGAAGGGAACAAATTGAACAATGTCCCTCTTGCATGGCTGACCACCTGGAGCTCTCAACACCCCATTGTCTCCATCCAGAATCTCCATATCGCTGAAGTCAGCATTGCCAACACCCACAATGATCAGGGACATGGGCAACTCGCTGGCTGCTACAATGGCTGACCGTGTGTTGGACATATCACTGAGTACTCCGTCAGTAAGCATCAGCAATACGAAGTAGGCCTGACAACAAAGGGGGTGTCGTAGACAAAGGAGAAAAATAAATACTCAAAATAATGTGAAAGACATACATTAAATCTACACTTAGACATGAACACATGTGATATTTCTGGTATATCATTAATGTCCTCTTCTTTTTCTTTTATCGTTTCCCACTCTTTGCTATAAGGTAAAAATATTTTAGATCCAAATTAGTCATTCGTACATACAGTGGAATCCTGTTATAACGAGAGGGAGGGGGCCGGTGCGAAATGTCCGTTATAGCATGATTCTCGTTATAAGGGATCCAGTAATAAATTCAAGGGAAATAGTAAAGTAGGCCTAATCTATGAGTTTGGTGCTCTGTTTATTCCTTTTTGTATTTCCCCTGATGATGATTTTGTTTAACATGATCTCTAGGTCTTACTTGACCAAAAATCGAATCAGGTTTCTATCTCTAACACTAGCAATGTTGACAGCTCGGCGTTGGCGATAAGAAAGAAGGGGCTCTGGCTCTAGGCTAACTAACCCGCTGGGTTGTCCCCCACCCCACCACACCCTGTGGTACATTGCGTCTGCTTGCGCACGTCACATATTCACTCCATCTATCACAGCATTGTGACCGCTCCATCCTGCACCAGAGAAGTGAGAGGCACGGTATGCCTAGATAATCTAGACTGGGCTGGCCTATCATGCGATGCGTTCTGCTTGTCTGCGCATGTCTCACTCTCCCCACTCCTTCGCTCCGGCCTTCATTGTTGGTTCGCACGGGCTCTCCCATTCTTTGTTTCACAGGATCACCTACAACTTTCTCAACAGGTAAGGTTCTAAATGTTTTAATTGGTCTGTGCGTTGTGCACAGAAGCAGCAATATTTCGTTATAACCGACTCGCGTGACTGTCTGATTGCGCAATAGCAGTATTTTATTCAGAAAGATAAAGAAGGGAAAAAAACGGGGTTTTAGAATAGTGTCTTTATAACAGACTTCTTGTTATTTCAGGACTCGTTATAAGTGGACTCCATTGTATTAAGGCCTTAAACTAAATGCAAAACTGTAGTGTATTCAAAGTGGTGCAATGTATGAACAGTCATTTCAGGCCCAGAAAAGAATCCCACTGTGTTTTGTATGATTGTAAAGTGAATGCACTAAGAGCTGCCATATTGGAAACTACGCGCTCTCACAATTAGAGTCTGCTGACCAGGCAACAAACATCAGACTGAACCTCAAAAACGTGATGCTTCTGTTCTCCTAAAGTATATATAAAGTCACCCCAAACATTTGATACCCAAATTAACCACAGAGCTCACTGTTTAGTGTCTAAATCTCTAAAAGAAAAAAAAAAGAGCGTAAGGCCTGAAATATTGTATATCAACTCACATCGTCATAAAGCTTTCAAACTCCATTTGTTTACAAGTTAGTCAGTATCTTACAGTTCTTAAGGATCATCACTTGGAGTCTAAAGAAAACTTGTCTGTCCACTTACATGGGCTCCCTTACTGCCCTCCTCTCGCTGTGCCATAGCAGCAAACTTGGAAACATGCTGTATGATGGGAGCAGCATTGGTGGGACCATACAATTGGACTGTCTGGATGCAGTTGTAGTAAGCTTGTAAAACACCATCAATTCCTGCAAACAGAAATTTCTGAATCAAATATCTAATTTTCCAAATGTAAAACTTTTCTGAATTACATGGGTCACCACTGACATGGTGAAATATATACATTTTTTTCCCCCTAAGTATTTTTTAAACACCACTGAAGTAAAACACATTTAAGATCAATTTTGCTTGATGAGAATTACAACAGACAATAAAGTCTGCACTTACTGTCTTAGGCTCTTTTACTTCACATATCGGAAAGAGGGTACGAGAATAAACAACTTTCCATATGTGTAATGTATGTTCTTGTTGAGATAGAGCATTATGTTCCTTAATAGTAAATATTTTCTCAAACGCGGAACAGTTTACCTTGACAATATGGATTCTGTGGGTTGAAGTTGATGGCAAACTCATGTGACACTTGCCAGTTGGGCGGAATCTTGGCACCAAAGCCAAGGGCAGGAAACAATTTGTCTCTGGAGGTGAAAAAAAACAATTAAAGTTAAAGATAAAATGTTCATGTGTTAAAGTAGTCACACATTGATACAAAAAGTAACAGTCTATTTTCATGAAATACAGATGTGATGACACATTCCAGCAAACAACCCACAACAATACATACAGTCTGCAGGTTTACTGTACTAGAGAAAAATTACTATGACAATTACGACTGTCTATACTATCTCATCAAAATACATTTTCATTATTATTCCTTTCGCTAGGTATAATGTTATGACTAAGTCTTAAATGTAAAAAACGATTTTATTCCATTGTATTGAGTACCCATGTCTTTTTGTTTAGAGGTACCCAACAAAGTCCACAAATTTTAAAAGCATAAAGGACTGACCTAAAATCTGACTCGAGGGCATACAAAGAGCACTTGTTTAATCAATAGTTTGTAGACCAACCAAATAGAAGGACCTCTATACAAAGAGCCAACCGCCCCACCAACGAGGAATGCAGTGCAACTCTCTCTTTTTTTAAAATCCAGCACTCTTTCCCATCAAACTGGCTACTGTCAGTCAATACTACCAAAAAAAACTAAATAAATAAAATAAGCCCTGAATCCCTTGAAGTATGCTATTAGTTTCCAGTTGAGAATTAACTTCAGCAAAAAACATGTGAGCATAGTGAAAATGAATGTAATACAAAGCAAAACAGAGAAAAGCTCAGACATACGTGTCATAATCTTGGCACACCTCCCCAACTGCCTTGATAGCACCCATATACTCATTGGGCTGGTAGGGGTTGATGTAATGAAGAGAGGTTGTCTGAGCCGGATTTCCATTGGAGGCTGTGAAGTCAATTCCCACCTGTGTGCAGAGAAACAGACAGCTGTCACAAGAAAATTATTTACTTTTTCACCTGTACACAGTACACAATAGTCCTTCATTTGACCACATTGAGGGAATATCCATTAAATGTGTTAATTTGGAACCAGAGCGGACATTTACCCTACCTAAGAAATACACGGGTATTTCTCTCGACAAATATGTTGTGTTTGAGGAAAGCACAGTAGTATCAATCTCTACACCATGTGACTCACAGTCGTAAAGACTGCCAACATGACAGCACTTTTTAAACCATTTTTTAAAACTTACATTCTTGTCTCACTACACAAAACTGATCAAAAGTTCAGACCGCAAAGCAAACAATTTCCAATCTACAGGGGCAAAGGAAGAGGAAAAAAAGGAGGTGGGGTAAGAGGACAAGAAAAAGGAAAAAAAAGGTGGGGGGGGGGAAGGAGGAGGAGCAGATCAAGAAATAGAAGAAGCAGCAGCTCACAAAAAGTGTAATTTCTAAAACAAAAATAATTGGCTACTTACAGTGAAGTTGATCTGCATACCCCCAGTGATGTAATCCAGGAAAGAATGCTCCTTAAAAAGCTGTTGGATACAAACAAAATTTTGAGGTGTAATCTGTGTCATGTATAGAAAATTTCAGAGAAAAAAGAGCAACTTGTTTACAAATAGGAAAACCAAACCATTTGTTCATGTATTACAATACGGTAGGCCTATAATTTACATATCAGACACTACAATAAAAGAGACTTCTTCGAAAGTAGGACGTAAATATTAAAACACTGATGACACTAGAAGTCTTGAGGCTACGGCACATCCTCTCTTACTTTACACTCAACTCTACGCTGACAACAAGCTCCATCCAGGAACATAAAAAATATGGGCTACATTAAAGAATAACAGCGATATAATGCATAACAGGTTGAATGTTGTATGTCCTCAGGTGACTGATATGATAAATTGGACTTTGGTTCCCCCCTTTTTCACAAGCCTTATCTTTTGGTAGATGGGAAGGAGTACCCATTCTTCTTTCGTGAGAAAGAAAAATGAGAAAGTCTGTCAAGCATGTTGTCAAGATAACATATCATATGTGTGCTACAAAAATGACCAAAATCAAACTGATTCATCATGGTATTCTTTACCTGGTGACCTACTTCCCTGTCATAAAAGCACCAAATTATGAAAATATAACAATATAGCCTGAGTCACAAAAAGATATAAAAAGAGGAACTTTCTTTGATTTAAATAAAACTACGATAAAAGTTATGTTATTACCGTAGCACGTTGATGAGGTATACGTAAGAAAAAGAATAAGTGCACTTACTTTGCAGGTAGTCAACACAATGATTCCAGAGTTCTTGTAATTTCTCTTTTTGGCTTTCTTGGAAGGGTTGACACAGGGCCATGACGTCTGCCATTAAAAAATGTACAGACAACAGTCAACATAGGGTTAACTATTCAGAAAAACACTTAGAACACTATTAGAAAAAGAATAAACATACTCACTAAAACACCAAAACAACTTCGTACCTCTTAGAGTTTGTGGTGAGTCAAACATTAGAAACTTGCTAAATGTGGCCTCTTGCTTTCTGTCAGTTTGCATTCAACAAATTGTTCTGACAATTAAGTCATTTTAAAAGTGCAGTACTCGGCATTGCACTTGAAAACAAGTAGGAAGAAGAAAGACAAGACAGTGGCAATACATTAAAGAAAAATATCACAAAACAACATCTGAGCAAAGATGTCTCTCATTCACAAATGCCTTAAGGGTACATGCAGTGCACACAAAACATACAGAGCTCCACTAGACTTTTATACTTTAGTTGCCACTGATAAAGAAAACACATTTTAAGAAGAATCATTAGGTGTTCTCACCTCTTGCTGAGCTGCCTTAGACATCTCATCAAATGTTGTGGTGAGGCCGCCAATGTAGTCGTGTGAGCCGTCACTGTCCCAGTCATAGCAATCAATCTGACAAGTAAACAACATGGGGCAGAGAGAGATGTTGAGATGGTAGATACATTGAAAAATATACAATTGTTCTTTAGGTTGGGAGAAACAGAATGTACTGCTGACACAGTCTTAATCTATTACAACAATGCGGCAGTTTCCTAATCTACTTTCAATACTTGCACTGCTTCTAAATTGATTTTTTTCCAAATATCTGCATGGAACACACATTAGTAAAAGTGGCTCAAACGTTCATGATAAAGGAAGGTGGATAATATACCGTTATGCTTCACCTGATGTCCAACAGAGTTCTGAGCGGGATCTTGAGATAAAAGTATTTCGAATATGACGCTCAAAACTACCACGTCAACAAAAGATCTCCGCAAATATTAAACAAATAACTAATTTTGAATTGTACTTGAACACAGCATGAACAGCAGCAATGTTAGATATCCAGGATGAAGATCCTTCTACCTTAAAAAAAATCAAGAGGGCTGTGTGCAAATCCTGTTGAGTAAGCGTTTAACTCATTTATCAGTCTCAATTTGTTTCATGGGGACTCTCAATGATCTTTCCCAGAGATAAGACTTCTCATGTTCAGGGCACTCACCTTAATGTTTTGCTGTCTGTTCCCACCACACAGTGTCTGCAGTGACAACTGAAATGGCCGCCAGCTGGGGTTCAAATTGTTCTTTATCACCTGAAAGTGAATTGGTGTTTAGTTTTAGTAAGTTTTTTACGGCACTTGCAACACAATAAGGTCATATAAGTGCCTAAGATTAGAGGTGTTACATGAGAGTAACAAACACAAAAAAAGAAGGAGGGGAGATAAAGACGATAGATGTTTGATGGGAAGGAAGAAGCAAACCACACCAGAGCACCCGCCAACCACCCACTGAATTGGTGTAGTCTGTGTACAAAATCATAGCATACAAAAATTTCAGAGCATAGCAGCCAGCAAATCTATCTCATAACAATTTAGGGAAGGTGAAGATATCCATTCAACATAAGACAGAGCAAATTTTGTCAATTTTTTTTCGAGGGAAATTGTAAAACAAATCTATAATCTTTGAATTCTTTGGACCTCTTTTCAATCGCATCTCACTTAAAGTCCAGTATCTATCACAATCATATGGGCCATCCTGCTCAGTTATTCTGTTGGCCACTTCTTGACTATACGTGGAATATGTTCATAAATGTCTAACGTTATGGGATTGGCCTAGAGTGAGTGAGTGTGTGTGTGCGAGGGGTGTGTGTGTGCGAGTGTGTTTGTGTGTGTGAGTGAGATAGAGAGAAAGAGAGAGAGAGAGAGAGAGAGAGAGAGAGAGAGAGAGAGAGAGAGAGAGATACAGAGAGAGAGAAGAGAGAGAGAGAGAGAGAAAAGAAAAAGAGAAAGAGAGAGGGGTGGGGAGAGAAAAAGAAAAAAAGTAAGAGAGAGAGAAAGAGGGGGAAGGAGAGACAAAAGGAAAATGAATAAAGAGATGATAGAGAGATAAAGAGGGAGAGATATACAAAAAAGGAGGGAGAGGGAGAGAGGTGAGAGACACTGTCAATCTACTATAAAATATTTTAAAGAATACTCTTACTTCACCAGCAGCCAGATTTACACAGAAAGACTTCTGAATAAAGTGGCGCCAAAGCATAGGAGTATATTTACAAAAAAGGCTCAAACTTGAACATCATTTTCCGCCCTGCTAACATTATGCTCACAGAACAGACATTCAAGAAGCACCAAGTTCTATTACTTGACTGTTTTTCTTCCTTACACTCAGAGAGGGAGTGGCAGCCGAATGACAAATAAATTTTAAAAAATCAGAATCAGTGGTGTTGCGATCATATTTTTATAAAATTGAAAAAAACATAATAATTCAGCCAAATTCATGTTGATGGGCAGCCCTGAATTCAAACACATTGTCTGTGGGCAACGGCGAAGCGCCTAACCTCTACACCACAGACACGGTCTGCCATGTATTGGTCTCTATTTTATGTTGTGGGATTAATCTAATTAGGGCTAAGTGTTCAACAACATGCTGGTTGAAGTGATTAAACCGAAATAATTGACAATATACACTCTGTAGTGTCGTTTTGTATAACTTGGTGAAATGGTGCTTGGGGCTACATTGTCGTTGTTATTTCCAAGACATGGATACAGGAGGTGTAGACAGGACACAATAAATTATTAACACAACCAACCAATATCCTACCTCTGTTCTGTGAACAACTTGCCAGCGGCCATCTGGGGTTGCTCGCTGAATCTCCAGATATGGATCAGACTTGCCGAGAAAGTCCTAGACAAAATTGTACAAAGGACAAATTCAATCATTTTTTCACATAGAGTTATTGATTTGCACCTCTTTTCTAATTCCGGACAAATGAAAGGATTGACATGCAAATCTGTTGTTCTTGTCAAAACAGTCCCACAAGTAAAAGTTATAATGAGTAAAGCTTTTTCACTAATATTCTTGAATGTATTTTCAGTCTTTAGTTGAAAAAAATTATTCCTTTTCAAAATCCTTGGGAAAATACTGATTAAATGTAATATTTATATTAAGCTTGTCCACTCATAACCAAATATGCGACAGTGCACTGGACACAGCAGTATTTCAAGCAGAGACTGCATCGTTCAGCTGGCCACCACAACGTCCAAAGTCTTTGCAAGCTTACCTTATTGTCCAACTTCTGTGCCCTGAAGGTCAAGTGGACGCTCTCTGTGCCTTCTTTGATTTCTTCAGCACTTATCTGGGAATGACAGAAACAGACAAGATGAGTATGATTTCACAGAGCAGAAGAATACTGCCTAGATGACATGTAAGAAATTTTTGCACATAAAGCAACACTTTAAAAAAGAGTTGAAAATGACAGATGTAGACAAAAGGAAAATTTGGTCGTCAGCGTTTGCTTAAGGGTATCAACACAATGGTGGTCATCAATTGCACCTGAACGTTGAGACAACATACAATAATATAGTTGTGACATCCTATTAAACTACTCCTACCAGCATGTCCCCTATCTAAATTAATTTCAATCATTTTGATCAAACATTGATGCAAAAGTGAGTCATAAAAGCACCATTTTCTGAGATTCCTGCATCATAGCAAAATCAATGCTTTAGACGCTAAATGCTAGAACTGTTCTGGAGCACACTGAATGTTATATATTACCAGTAAGCTTTAGAACCTGCTGAAGAGCTCAATTGAAATCACAAACTGCAAAATAGAACTTAGCAGTACATTGTTTTGTCTTTCAAACAACAATATTCCCGATTTCCACAAAGATCCAATAATCCAGCACCTGTGTACACATCAAAGAATAATACAATCAATTTCCATGCCCATTACACAATTATGACTTGCAAAAAAATGCTCGAATATTTACCGATATAGTCCCTTGGCCAGCTTTCCGTCCATTCCTCAACAAAAGAGGAGCTGTCAGTGGGGTGTTGGACACAACCTGCCAATGCCAGACAACATACAGGTAAATAATGAGTTCAGTAGATATCTTGCATTTCAAGGAAAATGAAATTGAACGGTGAATTAAATTTTCACAAAACTTTCCTCTCCTCCGAAATTGAACAAAAACAAAAAGAGCAAAATATGTCTTGTAAGGGATGCAAAAGAAGGAAACAAGAAATGATATTCCTATTCATCTACGGGAACATATCAGGGACAAAAACTTGACCTTTGAATAACTGAGACACAAAATGAAGAGACCCTGCCTTCTTAAAAAAAAAGGAGACACAGTTGACCCTGCTCCAACCGCCACCTGTCAAAGATAATCACCTGTACAAATGACCATTTCCCACTTCCCTATTTTTTCTAATATTATCTCAATTATAATGACACTGTCTAATATATTCTCCTGCTTAAGACATCCACTTTTCTCCTCGACAATGGGTGGCCATTGAGGACAATTTCAACTGTATCTTGAAAAATAAAAGGAGACTTGGACCTGTACCCACCTGTCCTAATGTAGTCTCAATCTGTCCTAAGAAATCGTCATCTGTGAGCTGAGGGGTAGAATTGTCCAGGTCATAGACAGCTATCAGCAGTTTCTGCACCTCCTCAAAGAAGTAGTTGACCACAAAACTTTGGGAGAATCGGGGGTTCAAACAGTTGATCACATTCTCTGTTCTTCCCATCTGCAGAAAATCATGAAAAAGGACTTCATTTACTTCATTTTGGAGGCCAGATACCTATTTCAGCTATACTTTCTAGTAGGTAAAAACGACAACGGGCACTTTCATCCGGAAGAGATTGGACAAATAAATTTGAGTAAAGAGAAGCACATTGACACAATAACAATCAAAAAGTGTGCCCAGGAAAAAATGAAAGACAGACAGACAGATACAACAGGAGGGGAGGGGGGAGAGAAGAAGTTAGAGTAGCAAGCAGCATCCTACAACATCTGAAGATTTAAACAAGAGGAATACTAAAAAGTCAACATAAGTAGTAATACCAGAGAATCAACTACCCACCACTCACATCTAATCTACCGTGACATTATTATTACTATCAATTACTTTTGTATGGTCGAAAGACAATGAATGTCTGTTCTGAAACAAAGTACAAAGAGAGTACATTTTTATTTTTTATGCAATCCCACCTAGCCTGAGATCAGGGGGGACACGATAAATACATCAGTGTACACAGACTGAAACTGCATGAACCTCAAATGGAAACATGTATTTAAGAAGGAGAAGCAAGCATCGTATGGCAAGAGTAAAAAGCCCCCATGAAAGGAATATGCTAGATCATGACAATATGTGACCCTCTAAGACAACTCATTACACCCCCACACTGACCTCCTCCCAGCGGCCAGCCCTCATCATGTAGAAAGCAGCACACGGGTCAGACTTGGACATCACGTCTTTGTTCAGCAAATTCTTGCACTCAATACGGATCTCCACACGCGACTTGAACTGGTCTGCTCCAGGGTTTGTTGCTCTACCCCCTGCACCACCTGAGGTGACAACAATGACCATGGTATTTTGCATTGGTTCAAATCTTTCCACATACTGCTAATAATGATCAAGAACAATGCACATATCAGACCTAAGCACAAGACAGCCTTTCCAACTGGTCAAAATACTGGTATGGTGTGGGGCTTGTGCTACTCTAAACACAGGGAGATAAGAGCAAAGACCTCTAAACATAACGTCCTTCTCCAACAGAACAAACCCAAACGGGCATGAGAGTTTTAAAAAACACAGAAAAAAATAAAGTCAAAGCATGCCCTGGAGATGAATCAAACCATGACTATCTATGCTGGCACCAACAGGAAGAAAGGGAAAGAGGGAGGTAGATGGAGGAGGAGGCCCCCACAACTCCCAATGCCTTTGCTCCAAGAACAGAACACAGTAACTGTAGAATTATTGACTTAACGGCCGAGTTGGAAGAGAACCTCATCAACCCACAGTGCCCTCAGAAAAAACAAAAGGAAGGAACAGTAAAACTTCAACTTCTTCCAAGACACAAGTCGGCTATTCTAAAGATAAAACGCCTCTCTACTGTGTTTCTGGAGTCTGTATTAGTCAGGCCAGATCTTTGATTGATGTATCATCATGAAAGAGAACAGGGAAAAAAAACACCACCCTTACACCAGAGACGAGGTGTACAAGTGGTACTCCAGTGGCAGGGGACATGTGCCCTGTGAGAATGACGGCTCTTTATGTATCCTCGCTTTCTTCAGTACAGATGAGAAACATTACAGGACAGAGTGACTGCTGGGTGGATTAGTATAAAATTACATGATCTGGCATGACTTTACCTCCCCTTTCAACACTAACAATATCTCTTAGGAGGGGATAATGAAAAGCAAGAGAACTATGTTACCTCGAGGGGCATTTGCCCCTTGACCTTGAGTTTGACCTGGGTAAGCAGAGTGTGCTGGAGGTTGGTGACCTTGACCTGGGTACGGGGCATGACCTTGACCTGCATGGGAAGCCTGGCCTGGGTAAGGAGCTTGACCTTGACCGGGGTATGGTGCTTGACCTTGGGGATGACCTTGCCCTGGATAAGGGCTCTGACCATGTGGTGGATTGCCTTGACCAGGGAAAGGGGCTTGACCTTGAGCTGGGTAAGGGGCCTGACCTTGAGGGGGTTGACCTTGAGCTGGGTAAGGAGCTTGACCTTGAGCAGGATAAGGTGCCTGACCTGGATAAGGTGTCTGTCCATGTGGGGGCTGACCTTGGGCAGGGTACGGAGATTGTCCAGGATAAGGGGCTTGTCCTTGTTGACCTACATTATGAAAAGAAAAACCCATGTAGGCAACTAGCAAACATATATGAGAGTGTGTGTGTGCCTGAAGACAGGTAACAAAGGAAACATTTGCTCATTGTACGAAATTTTTTGTTTTGATTGACTGTGAATTGGCTTTGAACATGTTTAAATGACACTATGAAACTGTTTAATTGCCCTAAGCTGCTTTGGAAAGTTGCACTTTGAGTAGTTACAGTGTTGTCAAAGGTATCAGAGACACACAACATGGCTAGCTGATCGATCCATATTTATTTGGAGAAGAACAACTCAAAATAGAATTAAACTGAAAAAACATTGTTCTCAAAACCTTGTTTCTGCACCTTACCTAACAATATTAATCCGACCTCACAAAGTACCCAGGTCATCTATAAAAAAACCCAAAAAAAACCCAAATTGCTTAAAAATGATTTTTGTACCAAAAAGTGCAATAAAACGCAATTCCTCAAAACGCATCATCCGGTACCTTTCACCTGGCATACACACATATACAGTGCTGTACCTTTTAAACACAAGTCACATTCAGAACGCTGTATTAGTGGAAAAACATGGATCTAGGTTTCTTTTTTAAGTGTACTATGACATTTCATCTCCAAAAAATATGTCATCTGGAGACAGCAAAATGCCTCAACAGCAACAGTTCTGCTGTACATATTGTATCAATACATCTCTTTCTGGACTTAAGAATGTGCATCAAAGGCAGCTACACAAATCTCATCTGCACAATCAGGCACAAGCCTTGACATTATCATTAATAGCAAGATGTGATATGATAGTCTCACTAAAACATGGTTTTCTGAAGTATTTTTTCAAAACAGAAAATGACACCAGAGTTGCGTGAAGAACAATTTTTAACAAAAAACTTCTATCCTGTAATTTGGTGAGTTATCTAAAGATTCACTCTGGACTTCGAACAATCAAATTTAAAAATTCTAAACAGACGAGCAGCAGGGATAAAACAAAAATGCTAGTGGGAAAAGCCAATATGATTTTTATTTTTACTGAATGTGAATCTGAACTCTGACCTTGACCAGGGCCTGTGGTTGGTCTTGGTGGAGGGCTGGGCTTGGGTGGGGCAGATGGGTTTGAGGCTGCCGGGTTGGGGTATGGGCCTGAAGGGTACGGTGCTGCTCCAGCTGGATGA